TGACCATTTTCCCGCTTCTCAAGTCAATTATTGCTTTTACCTCTCTTAGGAAATCTGCTCCTAATATCGGTCTCGATAAGCTTGTGGTTACCACGAACGGAAAATTTATCTCAGCTCCACTCATTTTTACAATACTGTTAGATACCCCCAACACCTCTAGCATATGCCCTCCTATGGTGTGGACAGCTAATGTACATGGTTTAATTGTCTTACATTGCTCTTTGCTTATTAACGATATAGCTGCCCCTGTATCAATCAAACACACTAACTCCCGTTCATTTATGTACACTCTGGCATAAATTGCCCCTCTATCTACTAGTGCAAGAACCTCCCAATTCCTAGGGTGGAAAGAAAACACGTTATAATGTTTAAAATATCGTCGTCGTCGTCTTCTTGGACAGTTTATCTTCCAATGTCCTGCCTCTCCACAAGCGTAACATTTATCGTTCCTTTTATGATTTACTCGTAATGCTGCTATCTCACGCTCTAACTCCTCAATCTTCTTCTCGAAAGTATTTATCTCCTGCCTTTCGCACCCGACCGGAGCTACTGTTCGTGTCATCAGCTGACGAGTCACCTTCGCTAGTTCACCGATGTCCATAGGTTGTGCTGCATTTACTAATCTCAGCTGCTGGGACACAGCGGCAGGCACACTCTCAATAAATTGCGACGCCAACAATTGTGCCTCCGACTCCTCATCGATACTCGGCAACGCACGCGCAGCAACCTTCTGAGTTCCACAGCGAGCACCAGCGGGTCACCGTCAGCCGACAGCCTCGCCAACCGGAACTTCCGCAACGCCTCCTCCCTGTCCACCGGGCTGTCGAACTCGGTCATCAGCCGCTCAACGACCGCCTCCCATGGCGTCTTCCCGCCAGCACCGTCCAAGCCGTCATATACGGCCTTCGCCCTTCCTCTCAGCAGCGTCCCCAGCACCACCAGCTTCGCCTTCGGTTCCTTCACCCCCACCAGCTCCGCCACGGCCTCAAACTCCTTCAGGAAGCCCCGCACATCCCCGTCTTCAAACTCCTTCGGCCATGGAACCTTCATCCTTTGCGTAGGCAGCGACACCAAATGTAGTGAATGAGAACACAGGTGGAGGCAACCGAATCGTGTTTAACGAAAATTACAGAGTTACTCAGTAAAATCGGAAAACCATATCGTAAATCGTTCATTTGCAAAGGATCAGTTCATCCTATGGAACTGGACTGTTCCTGTTGCCAAACATCAATCCATTGTCACTCTTCATGCGTTTCATACAAATTCCATTGTTTTCTGACTCTTCCTTTCTTGATCTTCCCCCCATATTATGCTACCAGACTTTACGTTGACACTCACGCTATATACTACTTATAAGTAGTTCGCACCACAGCACCACACCCATTTAGGCAGCATAGATGCAGGAAGTGTAAAGTCATCGGTCATAAAGATGGCTTTTGCCTACAGAAAAAGCCAAAGCGATCCAGAAGTGCTAAGAAGCCTGTTCCTAGATCCAGTAGCAATGCATTGAGCCTAATATCTTCCTGCCAAAGCTCATCACCAGGTGAGAGGAAATTTATTACTCTTAATATTAACGGTTATTTGTGTAGAATGCAAATAGATACTGCATCTGATGTCACTATCCTCTCACGCAAAAATTGGACCAAATTGGGCAGCCCAAGCCTGCAGCACACAACACAAAAGCCTCGTACAGCATGTGGTAATTATCTTCGTCTGTTAGGACAATTGGAATGTAAAGTTGCTTTCCGAGATTCGTCGTTTACTGGGGTATGCTATATAACGCCAGCTGATCTAAATTTACTTGGTTTAGATTGGTTCGACCAGCTAAAATTGGCTGATGTCCCGCTAAATACCATATGCAGCCTGGTATCACAACGACATGACCCAGAAGCGTATACGAAGAACCACGCAGAATGTTATCTGACAACCGCAGTTCGCGCATTACCGGTGTCTGCAACAGACATACAAAATGCTTCTAGAAACGACCCCATCATCAAGATGACGATGAAATATGTCACTAACGGGTGGCCGTCGAAAAAGTTTGAAGGTGACATGAAGCAACTGTATCAGCGGCGGGAGTCACTATGCATCGTCAACGATTGTCTGATGTTTGGTGAAAGAGTAGTGGTGCCAGAATCCCTTCGTGCAAAAGTGCTGAGACAGTTCCATCTTGGTCATCCTGGGATTAAACGAATGAAGTCCATAGCCAGGAGTTATGCATACTGGCCTCACATGGATCAACATGTCACAGCGTTGGTTGAAAAATGCATCCGGTGTCAGCAGGCGGCAAAGATGAATGCCAAAATTCCACCGGTTTCATGGCCCAAACCTGAGCATCCTTGGTCCAGGATACATGTCGACTTCGCTGGCCCAATAAATGGAACTATGTATTTAATTGTCGTCGACGCCTTTTCTAAATGGCCGGAAATCAGCCCCGTTATGCCGCCCACTACAACTAAGACTATACAGCTCCTAACTGAAATTTTCTCACGAAATGGCATACCAGATGTGATCGTATCCGACAATGGCTCTCAATTCACCTCTTCCCAATTCCAGAATTTCTGTCAACGGCTAGCTATTAAACACTTACGCTCGCCACCATACCACCCGCAATCGAATGGGCAGGCGGAAAGGTTTGTGGATACGTTTAAAAGAGCACTGCTCAAGTCAAAAGGGGAGGGGACGCCAGCCGAAACGTTACAAAATTTCTTGTACGTCTATCGGACAACACCAAATGAATTGTTACCGGAGCAAAAGTCCCCAGCTGAAATCCTGATGGGAAGAAGATTGAAAACGATTCACAGCCTGATGCATCCGACCAATGCACCCTCATCAGTAGAGACAAAGCAGCAAAGACAATCCGCTTACGAGGTGGGATGCCCTGTGTTTGCCCGTGACTACAGAACGAACCATGGTCCTTGGGTAGAAGCGAGAGTGGTCAGAAGGGTTGGTCGAGTTATGTACGAAGTAGAGGTAGGAGGTGATAAATGGTCACGTCATCGGAATCAGATACGCAGACGGCTAGCCCCAGATCGCCCATCAAGAGCAGAAAGCCTTCCCCTTGACATCTTGCTTGATACCTTCAACCTACCGAGAGCCCCGCCACGAGAAGAAACTCAGCAGCAAGCTGTTCTTCGTTCCCGAAGGTATCCCCTCAGACAGCGGCGAACAATAGTCAAGATGCAAGTCAACCACAGGAGAACACGCTATTAAAAAGGAGAGGAGTGTTGGGGATGTTAGATCCCCAAAATTCGCTTGATAATGCCGTATTTCGGTTTTCACGTTCGCCAGCAGGGGCTGATCAAATGACCTTGAGATTTCAATTCCCACCAGGAAAATCAATGGCTGTGATTGGCCACAGTGTATTTTAGTATGCTATTTTCTTAACTGTCTCAAGGACGTTGTTATGTTGTATAAATAAACGAGAGTTGTATGCTTGATTGTACTGGGATTGCTGGGTGCTTGTAGAATATACTTCTACGCCTACAAAGTCTTCTATTTCGATTCTGGGATTCAGGGTAGCCTTCCTGGAAGCTGGTAAAAGCATCGTTGGCGTTTATCGACTAAGGTAAACTCGTAATAGCCTCAAGCATCCTAAGTGACGAACATATCAATACCCAACCACCGACTGCCCTGACGAGTGACGTTTCGTGACGTAGGGTTAGGTTGGGAGAAAGGTAGCACCAGTCAAACCAAAAAATGGCACAAATCCACGAGGTCACCAATAACTGAACTGAGTCACGTCAGTAGATGCAAACTACCTTGTTGAGGTTCGCAAGACAATAGTAGCCAATTGTTAGAGACTTTAAATTACATGGCTCAAAATCGTTTGCATTGACGCACGGTGTATCATCCCTGTTCTTTGTCTTCTCTCAAATTTTAATCTTCTGAATTCCTTGCGAATGTAGAAGAGTCTCATAGCACAGGACAAAACGGCTGTCCAGTGCATCCCGATTTCCCTGTAGAACTTCTGATAAACTGACTTATCAAAAAGGTTTACCTAAAAACTCGCAGTAGACTTTTTCTGTAGATAACAATTTTTCTAAAAGTTGATGTCTTATTTAACTTATTGAAACTTATGTCTAGATATTTCTAAATGAAAGTATGACAAGTGAACTCAGAAGCTAGGTAACGTTTTACAGGTGGTGGGCGTACGATGTGGCTTTAATACGAGATCGACTCATTTGCATACGAAATCATATCTTAATAACGGGTTACAGTTAGGGTAACCTAATAATGATTATTCTGCTTTTGAGAATGAACTGAATAATCTAACCATGAACTGTCTATCCAAAAGTGATAGATGGTGATCAGTTCTAATTAGCGCTTATTTTATGCCCAGTACTTTTTTTCAAAAGTCTAATTACTGACATGGCTGTCAGTCAGGTGATGAATTGATCTCTTTTAAAAAAATTTATTGGAGGAGATCAGGAATCACCACACAACTGTTTTGTCCTAGTTCTGGATTATTCAGCATGGTATGCACCTAGTTAATAAACCTGAAACTTTCAAGCTTCCTTGTTATCACTTAACCATTACGACCAATTGTTGGGCTTCTAATGAGGCACATTTCCAACCTTAATCAGTGCGGAATCCAGCGTGACGATTATTTAAAGCCAATGATAATGGATATGTCATTCATGACTTGTCTAGACTCCACCTGTTAAAAAACTCCTCGCTATCACTTCCAGAAATCATATCAAAGTACACATAGTTAATTATCTGAAAACTATTGGAGTAATTCGGTCGTTGAAGATATTGTGATTGTCTACTACACGGAGGAGCCCCGTTGTGGGACAGAGTTTTCATTGTCCACCTTATCTATCCTCAGCGCCAGAAATATCATGTACCGATTGAAGAGTATAATTATTGAGTGATAGACACGCACTTACATAGACTCGATATTGATTTATTTACTTAGCTCTATACTTTTGTAAACTTTCTCGTTTCATCAATCTTTGAAATTCGGGTTTCTGTTTTTTTTATTTTAAAAATCTCAGTGGATTTCCATACCATTTGCCATGGTGAATGAAGCCACTGTGCCGATTACACAAACATGGGACAAATGGAAGGGTTATGTTGATTCCATGGATGGCTTCTTCTATGTGGACAATTTGTTAATGTTAATTTTTGGCGGTATACCTTGGCAAGTTTATTTCCAGGTAAACTGTGTCATTTTTTTCTGCTTGTATTGACAGTTAGAATTTATTAACAGTACTCTCTAGTATGAGTAGTATATATATATATATATATATATATATATATATATATATATATATATATATATATATATGTAGGGTACGTCACTAGGTACGCTTGAAGCTATTACGAGTTCACCTTAGTCGATAAACGCGAACGAGACAATTACCAGCATCCAGATAGGCTACCTTGAATCCCAAGCTGAAGAAAAAAGGCTTTGTAAGTGTAGAAAGTATATTCTTCAAACACCCAGCAATCACAATACAACTCTCGTTTATTTATACATCATAGAAACGTCCTTGGGACAGTTACGAAAATAGCATACTAAAATACACAGCAGTCAATCACAGCCATGAATTTTGCTGGTGGGAAATGAAATTTCAAGGTCAACTGGATCAGCCCATGCTCGCAAACGTGAACTCCAAAATAAGGCATTTATCATGGGAGTTCTGGGGATCTAACATCCCCAACAATATGATAAAATATACAAGTTACTGCTAATCACGTGGGCTAGACAACGTGATGCAATCTGTTTTTCAATAGCTATCCTTGTGCAGAATTGCTCAAAAGAATATTTGTTTCTTTATGACTACAAATACAGTTTATTTAAGGATTTTTAACTAAAACAAAATCAAGGTCTGATGTTTCTTTTCTAATGCCTTCATCAGTTGATTAGCATGAAAATGGGATGAAATGTACAAAACTACACTACTGTCACAGATTTTAAGCTTGATTGTAAACCGTTTTAGATTTTTAAAAAAACATCTACGATTCTTATCAGATGAGAGTGAATCTTTCATAAAATCTGATCTACTTATTTTTATACTTTTTTGAATAAAAATTTCAAAATTTCAGGCTTGTGTCGCTATTACTTTATCATGTCATAAAGCAATAAAACTTTTATTAGTAGTATTCAGCGAAAATTTAAAACTCTTGAATGTTTTAACACGCTTACAGATGACTGTTTTCTTTTATGGCTTAAAGCTGTTATCGGATAAGACAGAATTAGTGTTCAGCATTGATAGTCGGATATAGATGGAATAAAGCATAACTGTGTTAGCTGTGCGCTGATTGGCTAATTCCTATTCAATCAGTGCCTGATCGATACTCATGTTGTTAGCTACACGCTGATTGGCTAAATCCAATCGATCAGCGTTAGCCGATCACCTGTGTTAGATTTCAGAAGCCCCTCATGTAAAAAATATAAACATACTAACGTTGCATCTATCTCGCCTTCGCCTCCGCTTCGGCTTCTTTCTTCCATTTAACCTTGCTATTTGGAATATAATCTTTCTCCTGTTCCACCGTGTTCTGATTTGGGGATTTGTCGAGTGTATTATTGTCAGTGAATACTAAACAATAGGAATAAGCTGGATTACTAGGAGAGATTTATAACAAACATTTGTAAAATAAATGTCAAATAGAATATATTTCAGTAAATATATGTAGTTCACACTCCGCCTCGAGCTCTTGTAGGGCTACTGCCAGTTTAAAGCTCGGATAAAGAATGAGGGCTGGTTAGTGACCCTGTCCCGCAGAAAACCGACTCACCATAACCAGAAAAAATAGTTCAAACAATATATATTAAAAAGCTTAATGCAAGTTTAATGTGTAATAATATTTGTAAACTGTTGATTATATTCACAGTTGTTACTGTTCTCAAAAATTCACTGGTTATTTATTATTAATTGTAAACGAGTAAATGTAATTTTACAATTACAGTCATATGACGTACTTACTTACTTAAGCCTGTTATCCTGACTGAAGTATAGGCCGCCGACCAGCATTGTCCAACTTACTCTGTCATGGACTTTCCTTTTCAGTTCTATCCAATCGTTTTTCGTTCTCTGCATGTCTACTTCCATTTTCCTGAGTAATATGTTCTTTGGTCTTTCTGTTTTCCTTTGGCTTTGAGGATTCCAAGTAAGAACTTGTCGGGTGCTTTCCTCAATTTGTACCCTATACACTTCCAGCGCTTCTTTCTCCACTGGAATCTGGTTTGTTCTCTACCACTGTAGAATGTTGCTGATAGTTTCTGTCCAACGGATCCTCAGTGTTTTGAATAGATAACTGTTCATAAACACTTGTATCTTATGGATGATGATTTTCGTAGTTCGTTCTCCGAGTTTCCGTCCCCATACAGTAGAACTGTCTTGACATTTTATATTAAAAATTCTGACTTTGATGTTGATTGACAAACGGTTGTTTTAAGTACCAGATATCCTTCAATTGTATCAATGCTGTCCTTGCTGTTAAAATGTTCTGTTTTTTTTTTTAATTTTTATTCATTGAACTTAGCGTGTACTCTCATCAAAAACTGCAAGCCAAGCGCGTATTTTAAGTTTTGTCGCTTCATTTGGATGTTTTGTTATGGCAATTCCTTCAGTTTTGATTGGAGCTGTTGGAGCAAGTACAAGTAAGTGTGTTGAACTTATTCACTATATAAATTCATTTTTGTGTATAGTTGGTATAATAAATATGTATTTATATATTTTTAAATATTGACAAATTATTTGAACATTGAATTAGAATTTTTAAATGCGAAACGTACATAAGATTATATTTTTCAAATGAAATATTTCTGTTAAAAATGATACTTTACTTTATACGTAGCTCAATAAAAATTTATTACATTGAAGATAGACAAAAGTTAATGAGGAACACAAACAGCTCCGAAATATTCATGCACCAAATGGGCCACTCCACAAACCTTTGGTCATAATGTCTAATCCACAAGGCAGTGGAACAATGTCGAGAGATGCAACCGGTGACCAGTAATACGTTGTATTCTCAGGATCCTATAGTCTACATGCACCAAGGGTCCGGAATCACTGTTCTTCAACTCCTCTGCTTGGTGTATCCTCCATACCCACTATCCAAGTTTAAGCACCAAACACTTGATTTTCGGCCTCTCAATTTGGTGAGTAAAACTCATACCACAAGAAAGCAATTGAGAAAGATTTCCCCGGCGTTTGCTATACACACATGTACATACGATGGTATTTCGAGAGAGTGAGAAAGCAGACTCCCTTCACTCTCGGTATCACCAGGGCATTTAAAGCCGCATATATAGAGCGAGAGAGAAATTGCTTTGGTCCTATAATGAGGACCATTTAACAATGGACACATTGAAATCAATGTGAATTTAGGCTCAAGGATCAAGACCCTTGAGCTAGAACCTAATAGGCAATCTTCATATGATTTTGTCGCTGAATGATTGTCTCAAGCTTAGGATCTTCAATGCAAGCGTATCTTAAACCCAATTTTTATAAACATACGATTTCTATTTATTCATGGTTTTATAGAGAAACTTTTATGGTTACAATATCATTTTCATCACATGGACAATGATATTTTAGGGAAACGGTATGATCCTTACGCGATTTAAATATCTTATGTTCAATTCCTTAAAGGTTCACACGGACGTGTGAACAACTGTCCAGTTCTATGTGGCAATCCGTGGGCGTTTTTATTTATTCAGTATAACTTAGTTAAATGATAAAATAAACAGTGACTTTTGATTCATTTACATGAGTATAAACTAATTTCAGAAAACTTTATGAAAGGAAAAACATTGAATCAGTTAAATTTAGAGGAAACTAAAAACGCTACTATTTAAATTATTAGTAGTAACTTCATAAAAGCAATCAATGAACGAGACAAAACTGTTGCCACAAGCATTATATGCAACTACGAATTCGACTTTGATGTAATATTATTTTAAAATGAATTTTTCATATTTGCCAAATTGATGATTGAATCCTCGAAAGAAAAGCTGGAAATTTAAATTTATGAACATTAAACCTTGAATATGAAGTTGATATTAGGCATTTGATTTAAAATTCTCTCAATTAAATTATTGTTTAGACTAGACCTTTCACACGAACTGATAACTATTTTCTCTATACACAGCTAAGGATAAGCATATGTTGATATTTTTATGATATATTTCTTTTCAAAAATGCTTACATAATGAGTTCTACTACTGTATAACAGCACACATACTTATCTGAAAAAGTAGTTGAAGACAAACGACATCAACGATACATATTGTATTGACTCATGTTATAGAATGGGACTTACGATCAGATGACTGTACTATAAAATTTCATTAATAAAACAATGCAAAATTGATCACAATCGCAAACTGACAGCTTTGTGTACATCACTATCGAATAATTAAATACAATACTTGTCAAAATGCAGTTTACAATAAATAAATCCTTATAAATACCGGTATGCTTGCTGACTTATCAATACGAGACGCAGGAGTCGTGGATGCGCACTGTCAATGATGAGTCCCATACTACGACGAAACGGCCGTCCAGTGCTTGTGTGTATCTAATAATGGTCCGACTTTGATCGATTCATGATTTCAAAAATGTAATACCTTATTCACAACATTAAGGTACATGATATTAGAAGTATAAATGTAGCGGTCAATCTCAGCTTATCCAAATATCATAAAGGTCCCCTGTTTTTCTGTATATTAATGAAAATCAAAGTTTATCTTATTACTTGAAGTTTCGATTGAATTCTTCTCCCACTAGTAGTAGCAAGCAAACAAACCATTTGAGTGAATTATCAGTCATATTGATTTGATAGAACATCAAATTAAGTACTTGTAATACTTAATCCCTTCTGATTCATTCTTCTCACACTGATTCATATCCTTCTAATCATTTCTGAAATCTCTTTCACAACTTTCATCGGCATTTCACCATTAATGAACTTGGCTTAAATAGCAATTCGATTAATTACTGATACACCTATACTACTTACAAGGTTTTTCAGTAGTATAATTTATTTTGCTAAAATCACTTGTTCACCGACAGTCGGATTTTACCAACAATTAAATTACAATGAAAATCTTTTAAATTTTTTTCTATTAGATTAAGTAGTATGTTGTCGAACTCTCAACAAAAACATCGATTTGTTCATCTCTCCATAAAAATTACCGATTCAGAATGTACATATTATTAGTCTCTTAAAATTAATGAATGACTGGAGGCAATCAGCAAAAAAATCCTCTAAACCTAGATTGTTGACACCGTTCAGCAAGGCATTATGTTATTCTTTGGAAAAATAACTTATGCTGGCTCACTCAGGAAGACAGTGACCTATTGTAGTGTTTAAATGTTTCACAAATTAACATGTAGTGACCATGTTTGTTTGTTGGTTGCAGAGACATACAAAGAAACTATCGACATTCAATCCTCCCTGCTCATTATTTTGATATTGATCAAGCAAACTTAAAGCAAATGTTAAGAATGAATAAATCAGTTCAATTTCTATGATTTCCGGTAATTAAGATAGATTTTTGATAAAAATGAGTGATATGTCAACTGGTTATTTTTTCGAAATAAAACAGAAAGAATATAAAACTTTAAAATGAACTGATCTTCAGAAGATTTACCTATTTTTCTCTATGATTAACTGGTTTCATGACTGAACATGACAAATACTGTTATTGATCTAGTACCTACTATTATTTAAACAAATTTGATTTGTCAATTTTCAATGTACAATTTTTCTATTGTACTTTTCTATAAATAGATTGGACAATGACAAATTATAATACAACTTCAGAATTACCAAATACACCAGAAGAAATGAAATTAATTCTACCCTTAGTATTACGTTATCTCTGTCCACCATGGGTATCATTTATTGGTTTAGGTGCAGTATCCGCTGCTGTCATGTCCTCGGCAGATTCATCCGTCCTATCGGCTGCATCTATGTTTGCTAGAAATGTTGTCAAAGCGATATTTTGGCAAAAAGCTACTGAACGTCAAGTTATCTGGATTATGCGTGTTAGTATATTTGTAATTGGAGCATTTGCATGTTGGTTAGGCATTAGTATACAATCAATTTATGGTTTATGGTATTTGTGTTCCGATTTAGTGTATGTGATTTTATTTCCACAATTAATTTGTGTTCTGTATGTGCGATTTTCAAATACATATGGTTCATTATGCAGTTACATTATTGGTTTGTTTGTACGATTAACTAGTGGTGAAAGTGTGTTAAAATTAAGACCATTAATTATTTATCCATATTTTGTTGATGACGAGCATGATTTTTATCAACGTTTCCCTTGTAAAACATTTGCTATGTTAATTACTTTCATAGTTTGTGTTTGTATTTCCTATTTGACGGATATTTATTTTCGAGCTGATTCAACACGACTGAAATATGATATATTTCGTTGTTATAAAGAACGTCAGTCAATGTCAGGTTCCATACGTATAGGAAATCGTTTTAATCGACCATCAATTCGAACAACACGATTACCGCGTAAAGGTGAAAAATTAGAAGTGATCAGTGATGATGGAACATTGGAGTTGGAGAAAAATGAAATGATAACAAGCGCCATCACTTTGACTACTACAACTTTAACAAATTTCAACAATTTTAACAATTCACATAAACCAGACGAAATGATTTTGACGCATAAAACAGTGTTAAACAAAACAAACGGCACACTTGATTGAACAAACATTCACATTACTGTCAAAAAAAATTTTAAATACTTACTTACTTCATCAACAACAACGAAAAAACTTTCCAATCCATAGATTTAAACAAGTCACTTTTGAAATTTGAAAAAGAAAACTGAAACAAAATAATAATAATCGTAAAATCAATTTCAAATTTCAAGAAATCCAATTCACATTCTCTATTTATTTTGAAAAAAAAAATTGAATTTGTTTAAGCCTTTCGTTTTTGAAATGTTTTTCCATTTTTTTTTCGTTCTCTATTACCGTTGACATTTTAAAACTTGTATTTATTTATCCTAACTCATCTGATTCTAACACACATGTTAGTTTAGATAGAAAAGAAGAAGAGTTCAATAAAAAAACACACTAACATTTTTTTTTCAGGAATTTCACAATGATTATTATTATTTGTTATTGTTATTTCCGAGTGTTGTTGTTTATATATTCGAGTTCTTGTTTAAATTAAATTAAATAATTCATTTAACTCTAATAAGCAGCTTTTGAGCGGTTTATTCGTAAAAATTTTCAATATTCAAACAATTATTTATTACTTATGATCATCTTCAATTATCATTTGGTTGTGACTATGATATGTTTTTCTAATTGGTTATTGTTATTGCTATTATTATTATTACTATTATTATTATTATTATTACTGTTATTATTCCTTATATGCTCATTGTCTTACTACATTATTGCAATTTTTATTACACTTTCCCGCCCCCCCCCACCTTGAAAAAAAGAAATGTAAACCTTAATTTGATATTGCATTACATTTGATTATCTTTTGTGACCAGAAAGAAACAAACAATCAAACATACAGAGTGATAGTTTTGTTTTTAGAAATCGTTATTTAAATCAAATTTTAATATCTTTATTTATTTGTTTTACTTTATTTATTTACTTATTTGATATGAATTCAATGTTCAATAATGTTTCTATTTATCTTAACAGTTTATGCGAAACCATACATATATACATATATATGCATATATTTATATACATATATATAAAATACTCATACATCATACACATACAAATGATTATTATTTGATAAATAGATAGAATTTTAAAAAATTGAGATCAACAAACACATTGACAATTTGTTCTATGCAAGCAGAGATTCTAATTGGATTCACACTGTTTTTTGTCCATGATCATCAGCACAAACTTCAAGTGGATTGGTTGTTAATTGACCTTGCACCTGTCGTTGTCTGATTTCTGTGTATGTCTATGACATTTCTGATTGGTTGATAAATTTTGATCAATGTCGATTGGTGTAGCAAACAAATCAATAGAAACATTTCAATCAATTCTATTTGGTCCAAAGGACAAAATGACAAATGAAGAAAAATTAAATATTATCCATAAAAAATTAACTGCTCAGACTGTGAAAAAAAACATTACATCGGATAAAGTGGACGTCGTCTTCAGCTTCGTCTGAGTGACCATCAGTTAGCAGTTAAACGCCATGATATTTCTTCCCTCATATCCTTACATACGGATAACTATGTACACACACTGGATTGGCGCAATGTTGAAATACTGCATAGAAGGAGTGAAAAGAAAACTCGAGAATTTTTAGAAGCTCATTTCATTCGGCAATCAACAGACACACCGACATTGATCCACTATATCAATAAACCAATGAGAAAAGTCACAGACAAACATAGGATCAAGAAACAGATCAAAATAAAGGTCCAAGCAACGACAGGTTTAGGATGAATAACAACCAATCGGGATCGATGTCAATGGAACAGGCTACGAGTTAAACAGGGAGAAATTAGAATACTTCACTTCTCTACCTGAAGTTTGTGCTGATCATGTTCTTGGGAAGACCCATGAAAGCTTCCCAACCGAAACATCCGTCTCAGAGAACAAAACTTCATCGCAATCATCGACCTGAGCTACAAAGTTTTCTCCACCATCATAGAATCATATCCATCCTAGACAATTAATAGGAGGTCAGGAATAGATGTATTGGCGTCATCAAAACTGACTTTAAACCATATTGCTTAGATAGACTACATACATGCTTCAGACAACAAGCGATGGCTTCATAGACTTCAGGTGGTTACTTTTATGCCGATAGACTGACTGTACAAGATTTTTATAAAGTGTTGGCTGTCAGCACTTGAGTGACCAGATTATTCAATAATAAACCATCAGGCATACAACTGTTCTTTAAAGAAATACCTAATTCATTACGCGAAGATTGAATTCATGACGATTCAGACAGCAGCAAACCAAAATTGTTACAATGATTTGTTTTTCGGGGTAGTCATCACTTTCACCGACAATCTGAGCTGTTTTGATATCTGCACCAGTTCACTGAAGATCAATACTTGTTTAGCATTCTTAATAGACGCGGTCTCTTTCAGCCATAATGAAGTTGTGATAGTTAAACTAGCGAATCTTAGTACAGCTATAAAATGTATCGGTAAGCAATTTTCCTAACGAAAGCCAATTACTAGTTTTATTGCGTTTCGTCAGTGGTCAAGAGCTACTTTACAATCGGTTACCTTTATGAAAAATGTTACAGTGTACCCCAGTAGGTTTATATGTCACATTACGATCAGAAGAAGACGATAGCTGATCAAAGCGGAGTTATACTAGGCTCAATTGAGCAGATCAGGTCTGTAGAATAGCTAACTTGCGAAAATCGGTTTCCAAATCATGAAAAGTACTAAGATGGAATGTACTTGCAAAAACGTTCCATCTTTATTGTTTTCAATAAACTTTTAAACCTTCATTTGGAACCTGATGTTCTGGATATAAAGTGTTTTTATCAAACTACAAATCTTAAGTGATGATTCGTATTTTAGTGCAAATAATTTGCTTTCATTGAGGCGTTATTGCTGTCTCCATACTTCAATCTGCTCATTTTTATTACAGTACGTTTGGAACGATACACAATGTGCTTCCCAAAGATCATAATTATTGCCACTAAGATAAAATAAGTTTTTCTGAGATAAATGGTTTGGGACTTTGTCTTCCTTGTTAATAAATTACGAATCTCGAAGAAGTGCAATCTGATTTATGTTGGGTATATCGTTAGGCCTTAATTGTCCAGGTTTGTGTACTAAAGGGGTCAGTCAAGTCGGTATCCATTCCTCAGCTATATCATGTTGTTTCAAAACACCTCTCTGTTTGTATTGTATTGATCGATTTGAAAGGCTAAATCTTAGAACCTTGTAATAAAGCAAATACTTTCTGATTGAAAGTGGTTTACATTTACATTAGTACGTAGTGGAATACTTCTACGAAAAAAACAGTTGGTGAAAAAGAAACTTTTATTATTGTACTCCTTTAGTTTGAAGCGTGTCGATTTTGATCACGTCGTGCTCACCATTTGTAGTGTGTCGATTTACTGCGTGTTCTTAAGCTCGGTAATTAACTCGTTCAGACAATCGTTGCCAAATAGCGTCTGATGGTTTATAAATCAGAAGATGGATTCGTAGTGGTGAATACGTTTATTCGGGACACACCACAAAGCGAAGCGGAGAAGTAGTGAATAAAACGAATGAAGCAACGTGAACTGGAGAAGGCTTTTGAGCCAACTCGAAGAGATAGAGCATGACTAAGAATATATAGTCAGACAAAAATAAGACAGACATATGACAAGCGAAATAGGCATGCACAGACATGAATAAAAGCGACGAATGATTGACAAGGTCAAAGGTAAGCGAGACAAGTCATGTGAGTTCATAGGGGTTTTAAGATGTTAACATTAAAGCGAAAAGGATGAGTCAGCGCGTAGGTGTAAGCAATGCTCAGTCGTACAAGCTCATACAAACCAGACAATAAAAAATACCAATGGTACATACGGGTTGATGCAAATAGCGTGCTTACATAAGTTAATCGAAAGGCGTGATCAGATTAAATATGAGCGAACTCAAATTTAAGTGGAGGCACGACTGTGATGTGCTAGTAATTTGTAATTAGTATTAAGTGGTGATCATAGTCAGTGACAACTCGGTCACCACTAAGACCCCTCAAATTTTAAGGCAGTGGATCTATCAACACTTTTACGACACTGAAGAGAAAACACTTATTTACCTGCTCTGTGCGCCAATTAACACAGGATGATTAGCTACATCTGTCATTACCCAGATAAGAGAAGGTTTGGACAAAAGTTTTAATGTTCCAAAAGATACAGCTCTGTGAAACATAAAAGACTATCTAAATGCTCTTCTTAGTAATGGTCAGCTTAACAGTAGAACACTCATTGATTCAACGAATTATCTAATCCGATTCTACCTATTATTAAATACTAGAAATAAGCAAGTTATTGAAAATATTTACAATTGACAATAACCCTGACATAAACCTAGTAAATCTGCTCTGAAATACCCTAACAATATATGTATATACATATATCGGTAGTCAGTCATTTCAGCGAGATTGGAAATCTTAGTTTCCACCATTAACAAGAAACATTCCAGTCTTCTCTGCCTGATTCGGACATTCAAACAATCCCGACCACATAAACTTCATCTCCCTTCATTGAAAGACAATCAGTGTAACAAATCAGACAAACGTAATTGTACCAAGGTAAATACATTATGCTGTAGGTCTAGGTATTTTTCGCTTCAACCTATCTCGCAGTTCATTCATCAATCAATTGCGTAACATATACTGTTACAGCGTTTCTACCAGTCCTCATAATATAAACACTAGCAAAACTAGGAGTGGTCTGAATTACGAGGTTTATAGTGAGTTTAAGCTATGTTCCGCGAAATAATTAAGTTAAGTAATGGGTTGAAAATCCTAGCTCCTAGCAACAGTATTGTGAAAAAGCTCAAAACGTCACTCGCCAATGAACCTCAGAGTAATTAGTAAAACTCGGATCACTCGAGCCAAATAAATAAACCAGGTCACCAACAAAGAAACTAGAATGACACTACCTCTCAGATCTCTATTCCTAATAAGACGAGGATTCAAAACATAAAATGGAGTGAAAGGTGTCCTAAGACTCAAATGACCAGCCTACTGTCTAAAAAGAACAGAACAATGACAACTGTAACTCTTACTCGTTGCCAGCTAGAACTAGTGACTGTGCATTTGAACTTAAATTCTGTGGTGCATGGGTTCAATGTCTCTGTGATACTGAAGTACCGAGACAGTACTTTTGGTTCATGTTAGGTCACCCCTGTCCGCGTTCCTGGTTCGTTTGTCCACGGTGTAGAATCAATAAGCAAAAAAAACTAACAATAGCAAAGAGAAAGGCCTCATCTAAAATAAATTCAGCAATTCCCACCAGCATACCGAATTCTCCCAATAAAGAATCAGCTAAAGAGGCGTCAGGGGCAGCCACAACCCGAGCTAATAGAGCAGCAAAACTACCGTTAGTTGTGAAATCCCCAGTATTTTTCAATAGTACATGGATCAGTTGGTTAGCATAAGAAATGAAAACGGGAACACCATAGTTCCAGAAACGCTACGGATAGGGGACAGAGTCGTCCGAAAAAATTCGATAATTTTATATTATGTTCCAAATTCGGAGGAAAGCTTACTGAAAGGTAGGGCTATCTTTCACAAAGAACAGTCAGACAAAAGCTGCACATCGCCTAGATTAACTAGTATCCCAGCCAAATTATGCCATCTATTCGATTATCACAGTGTAGCTAAATGTAATCCTCCTCTCTTCAGGGTAACTTTAGGCTCGGCGCAGGTTACCGACGAAATCCTCTCAACATCTCAGAGACCTTTGGTTGGCCAAATATCAGCTTAAACAACATAATGCAGTTCAGAAAGATATATAGAAACTCATTAAAGACAGAAGAAATGGAAACTTTAATGAAATACAAATATTATCATCTCAATTGGAATCGAACAGATGAACAAAATGTACGACTGAAGGAATCAGTAAGAACAAATTACAAATGTATACTTGCACGGATTTTCACAAACAAAACCTTTCATGTTCTACACGCAACAGGGACATGAGATTGGTGGAGGCTAACAGTGGAGGATTACTGAGAAACAGTGGGAGATATCCATCAGAATGCTGTCTTACGGTTTGTACCTAAGCCACTCCACAATTATAGAAGAAGAAGGACATTGATTAGGCTAGGCACTGAACGTTTGCTACACACTAAGAGAATAGTCTGGGACAAGTGAAAGGTCTCTCTATAAGATTGCGGCCTTATTTTTTTACTTGGCATTCACAAACAGCTGCACTGACGAAGTTCAAAATGACGGGCGACACTTCCAAGTGAAGCTAGCAACCAAAATACTGGCAAACCAAAATATCTATTTACGTTTGTGACGAAAAGAAAACCAACAAACCAGAGTGTTTGTGCTCTCAGAGGTCCAAATAGCAAAAATCTTACCAACATTAAGATGGCAGAGATCTCTAGTGCTGACATCACCGACTAGTTAAACCAGGCACCTACACTTTCAGAGTAGTAGTTAAACCTGAAAGCTGATAGCACAGGGAATATTCGACTTGCTCCTGACTTACTATCGGGAAAACTCCATTCCTTGGGCCCAGTAATGTCAACTGGTTGTGATAGTATTCACTCTATAGTCTTGAAACTGTACAGAAGCCCTCAATTCACCAGTACGTGACCTGTTCTAGCTTTCGTTGGAATCACATCAACTTCCAGATGAATGGAAACTACCTACTCTTTCTCTCCAATATACAAAGCAGGAGAGAGGAAAAATCCAGCTTGCCATGGACCAATCTGATTAATTCCAATACTGCCGAAGGAAGGAAGGACTCATGAATGAACAATTGATGAAGTGTATGAAGGGACAACAACCTCTTTAGTTGATAGCTTCAGAATTGGACTTGATAAATACGTACTCACATACGGATAATCACCTCCCTCTTGGACCATCTGTACTAGGTGCATGTCTCAAAGCTTTCTTGTTGTTATCATTACAGTTTCCTCAGATCACAAACCTATTCGATTTCGCTGATTATCTCTGTTTCGTCTCCAGTGCTTACACTTCTGGTCTCACGTACAATCTTCACTACCCGTTAGTTAACTGAGTCGTTCATTAATTTACGCAGTTCTGAAATATTCTTCTTATTAGCATTTGAATTTTCGCTCTATTATTCGCCGCCTTGCAACTAAACGATCTCCAGCCTAGTAATGTGATGTTTGCTGGTATCTAGAAACCCAAAAGCCCTGAGACAAACTCACTCATGTAACTGAACATCAAGATTCATAACTGCCAAATGACTAGAATTAGTGCACTCGAGTGGCTATAACACTATCTGTTGAAGACTACCGAATACCTGGAACAGTAACGAAAGAACAATAATCGGGCGCAAAGACATCAACTGGTTCATACTAGCTCATGAAAAAGATATTGTAGATTGGATGGCAGCTCCATAATTACAAACTCGCTAATGGGCTTCTTAACCACAGCAAGATCTGTGGATGCCATAGATCTGTTGATATGGCACTTTATTAGATGAGAACGAGAAGTTTATGGGCTGTTGTATATATTCCAGAGGATCCAGTTTCAAAATCATGGTACATTCAAACAACAACTCGGTACGCAGTAACAGTGATTGTAAAAACTACATGAAATAATGAAAGACGTGAATAAGGCCTGGAATTATTTGGAAATCTGGTTGATATTAACCGTCTCCACAATTTTTACTGCCTTGAATGATCCTTCAAATTGGCCTTGTGCTTTACCTCGTTTGGCTTGGATTTGGCGGGCTTCTTTGTATCAGCTGATTGTCTTCCTTGATCTACAACAGATAATGAATATTGCTTGTAATCGTCATGATGATAACCTTCCAATCCTGTTCATTGATTTCAATCAAGATTACACGTGAGTGAGCAATGCATTTATCTTCTCTCGGCTTTTTTCATTTTCGTTGTTCTCTTTTTGTAAGTAAACTCTAAAACGTCTTTCTCTTGCCAAAAACTGCCTAGTGGCTTTTAAAATCTCAGCCCTTATACATGCGTGCCTCGCACCATTTGTTGTGTATCCTTTAAAACTTTATAACGAGTTCATATTCTGAACATTACTGCTAAAAGCTGAGAACAAAAACTCATGCTTGATTGGTAAATTACACCAAATGTCAATGATGTTTTAACCTGGGAAAATACCAATTCATAGGTTCATACAGTGATCTATTCCCATATCATCCATTAGGGTATTCTATATATTTCTAGCACTTAAGTTCAGCATATAAAGAAACGAATGAAAGATCCGTAATTTAGGTGGTCTTCTTAAACCTCATTGATTTCTTCTGCGAGTTCGATCGGAAGTTTGATAACCAGAATTTTTATACATGTATATCAGCTGTTATATTGTTTTTTATCGAATAACTCCAGTATTTTTCCTTCGTGAATTATTGTGAATCGTAAGCTGTTGATATGTAACCAGGTCGAACAATTGTAAGGAGTTACAGCAGCTAGGTAGTTTGGCTTCATGAGCAATCGCAACTGGATGTGAAAAATTATCTCAACGCTTAAACAGTTTAAACATTGTACTTTCGGTCATTAAGTAGCAAGTTTAAACTTAACTTCATGAACTTCTGAAACTTAAACCCGGTACATACGGTTTTCATTCTTATGGTAATGATGACTAAACTAAGTATTGAAAGTCAAAGAATATCATTAACTCACTGAAAATGTTCTACCCAAAACCCAAAATATGAGCTTATACTTTGTTGCTAAATTGTATTAGAGTACAGGTTATTTGATCTAGACTTACACTGTTAAGGAAATGTATGATAAGATGGGTTATATTCCTTGTTATCAAATAGCTATTTTTTCTACGTAGTTTTGTATTCAAAAGTTAGTCATAACTTTCTCGACACTTTCCCCTTAGTAATCTAATCCAGAACAGTCTTATATCACGTATCATAGGCTTTTAGTTTGAGATTAGCATAGGATCATCAAACATTCTTTCCTTATGTTACTGTTGTTTTTCGTAAGGACTCAACCAAATCAAGGGAAGATCGCATAACTAAAAGAATCTTAGCATTAATCCATCTATTCTAATATTGCGAATAGACCTATTGTAAGTTCATTTTAGCCCAGGGTATCATTGTACATTACTGACAGTTGCTTTTCATCTCGGTTTTTATCTTGCTAACCCTCCTAGAGTAGAGTAATGCTATAGCCTGTTACATATTATTCCTTATCATAAAAGAAGCTTAGCTTATCAGCCTCTAGAAACTGTTCAGTCATAGAAATGATTTATTTATTTTGACTTACACGATAAGCCTCAGAAAACAAATGTTTGAGATCTAAAAATAGATTATAATTTGGCAGACTTACTTTATACAACTCGACACAAGTGTAGTTGTCAATGTTTTCATGTCTGCTTCCACTGTATCACATTTAACTTCTCATAAAACTGCTTGCTATTTGTCACTGCTTGGTCATATTTCCTTCTGTATTTTATTGATGCTTTGCCATATCTGTCGACAATAATCTTATCCACGAAAAACTACAGTTTTTTGATGCTTCTCTTTATCCATTTTCTCTTCATTATTTTTCATTTGTTGTTAATGAGAACGATAAAAGCTCAAGTTATTACTAGTAGGTTAAACTAGACACTAGTTTAGTTCAATAAATATTGCAAAATTAAAATTATTGTCTACTAAAAGTTGTAAACGTAACCATAATATATAATTTAGAATGTGCTATGGCTTTATCAATACCCATCATAATAAGATATAGAACCTGCAGCCCACTGGTCTGTGGGACAATCAGTTGAATGGAATTCACCACTCTACATCAACTTCATCGACTACGAGAAGGTATTCAATAGCGAGGATAGGAAAACACTGTGGAGGCTTCTTCGACACTATGGCGTATCTGAGAAGATAGTCAACATCATGCAGAATTCTTATGATAGATTAAACTGCAAAACCATGCACGGAAGAAAGTTGACAAACTCGTTTGAGGTGAAGACCGGTATCAGGCGAGGTTGCTTTCTCTAACACTTTCTCATGGTGATCAACTGGATCATAAACACGTCAACATCTGGAGAGAAGCATGGTATACAATGGACAACTAGGACTCAGCTGGACGATCTGGACTTCTCAAATGATCTGGCACTTCTATCGCACGCACGACAACAAATGCAAAAGAAGGCGACCAGTGTAGCAGCAGGTCTCAACATACATAAAGGGAAAAACAAGATTCCCTGATACAACTCATCATGTGCCAACCAAATCACACTTGATGAAGATGCATTGAAAGACATGAAAACCTTTACATATCTGGGCAGCATCATTGACAAGTAAGGTGGATCTGATGCAGATGTGAAGGAGCGGGTCGGCAAAGCAAGGGCTGCATTTTTACAATTGAACAACATCTGGAACTCAAAACAACTATCAACCAACACCAAAGTCAGAATTTTCAATACAAATGTCAAGACAGTTCTACTGTGTTGGGCAGAAACTTGGGGAACTACCAAAGCAATAATCCAGAAGATACAAGTATTCATTAACAGTTGTCTACACTAAGTACTTTGGATCTTTTGTCCAAACACCATCAGAAACAACATACTGTGGGAGATAACCATCCAGATTCAAGCCGAAGAGGAAATCATGAAGAAACGCTAAATGTAGATAGGACGCACGTTGCAGAAAGCACTTAACTGCGTCATAAGACAAACCCTACCTTGGAACCCTAAAGGTCAAAGGGAAGGAAAGGGGTCAAGGAAAAAATTACTCTGTGTAACGAAGACAAACATGGGAAGAATGAATAATGATTGCGAAGAAATGGAAAAGAAGGCTCAGGACAGAGTAGGTTGGAGAGTACTGGTTGGTGGCCTATGCTCCATTCGAGATACTAGGGGTAAGTAAGTAAAAAAACCCCACTGGTCTAATTTACACTTGAGATTTGATAACTGTGATCAATCAAATTTAACTATGTATACATATGTATATATATATCATGCTTTTAATGTAGATCTATTCAAGTTGGAACCAAAACAGGATACAGCCTTTTATCAACTGTCGGTGATCAAGTGACTGAGACATTTTCTTCTAGTAATTTGTGTTTTTAAATAATATTAAATAATTGTCATTTACATAAAATAGCCGGTGATCCCATGTGTATTGTTGGCAGATTATTTAATCGAAGCTTAGTTACATTAGTTTCACAGAATGATATGCGTCGACTGTTAGTTGCACATTCCAGAATAAACACACTGATATGTCATTATCGTTATACATTGACTATATTAGCTGTTAAAATGAATCATCAGGTATGTTTTGAAAATTTATTGAATTGTAAATTATAAATTACATCTTTTGTATTTTAAATAGTTTGATGAACACATAACGACTGTCATTACTTTTTATTGTAAGGATGAAAATATGTTTTTTTAGTTCTCGACTAGTAGTGATTTACTGGATAAGAGTAGCCAATTTCTGTTAGATTATGAATTCAGTAAATTGAGTTTCAGTTTGAGGGTAATTTTCATCATTAACTGCTGTTATCTGAAGAACTATCAGTGAACGACCTTAATTGTCCACAATAACCACTCCTTAGTCGGTTAACTTCTGCAACGCTACACTAAATCAAATTCAGGATTTTTATATTACACAGTGATCATAGTGTCCTTTGATTGATATCTCACTAGTCCATAAGTGACCAAAGTATTTCATTTGTCAATTCTTTTTTATTCTTGTTAATATATTGAAAGTTAAGGCCATGAGCTACAGTTAAGTCACAGTCAGTCAGTCAGTCAGATGCAACGTAGAGCTTCATACATAAGTACATCAGTTCATGTCGCCATACCACATCAGCGCAGAGATGTAATTGTCGATTCAAATCCAATAGTAGAAGAGGAACTAAAGGTATTAGAAGTAATCGGAGAGGTTAGGATTAGAAGATATTATTTAAGTAGTATGATTCAGTGGGAAAAGTTTACAAAGTTGAAGAATCCTGAAGATTAGGATTTGAGAGAACACAAAGAATAAATGCACTGGCGCCATTGCGAACGATTTTGAGCCATGTCATTCAAGGTCTCTAACCATCGATTATTATCATCTCGCGGACCCCAACCAGGTAGTCGACAATTGGGGTCACAGCTTCACTCATAATATTGTAGTGAGACGAGTCGGGATTGACTATGGACGCTACTACAGACCACTTACGTTCCCGTCACTAAGTGCAATAGCTCCGTGAATCAAGGACAGAGAAGAAGAAGAAGAGTTGATCCAGACAAGGAAACATATTTGCTGGCGATTTAGTGGTATCGAAGGAATACCGAAATCGTACTAGAGAAAAAGGGGCGAAGTTACAGCGAGTAGTATAACCAAACTGGCAGCAACATGAACGAAATGTTTTCTCGTACAGAGTACAAATAAACAAAGTGGTTTAGTAAAACAATCACTGGTACAATTGGTTGTAATAATGAACGTTTCTGTTAGACCAATTTGTAATTAGATTTGGATCAGAGCAATCGCTGAATAATCCAGACAGATAGACAGACAGATACAACACAGAACTTCGTACGTAAGTACACCGGTTCAGGTTGCTATACCACATCAGCACACAGACGCAACTGTCAGCTCAAATCCAGGTAGCCTACATCTACCAACATGACTCAGTCCACTTGTCAATGACTTCATGGATTTGTGCCATGTTTTGGTCTGGAAGCCCCTAACTTTCTTCCAACCTACTCCTACACCACAAAACATAGCTCGTCGAGGCAGTCGGTGGTCGGGTATAAGTTACACATATCCCAACCACCTCAACTGATGAAGTTTCACTACTTCATCTATTGATTTACCATCCCTACCTAGAACTCGTTTCCTAACGACATAATTGCTTATACGGTTGTCCCATGATACACGAGCAGTGCTTCGGAGACATCGATGATCGAAGACTAGTAACCTACGGAAGTCCTCTACTCTTAACGGCCATGTTTCGTATCCGTGCAGTAGGACGGAGCGAACTAAATAATCCACTGGGTTGTTGTATATCAAATCGCCAAACTACCTATAAATATATTCTATATTGAATTATTCTGCTTAACTGAATTACATGAATAGTAACTTAGTATTTCCAATAATTTATTCAATCACTCACTCTCTCTCACCTTCTGATTGTTAACCAAAGGACGAGTGTACTGCGCAGCAGTTCGCTTTGTCCTACACTATACGGATACGAAATATGGCCGTCAAGAGTAGAGGACATCCATAGGTTACTAATCTTCGATCATAGGTGTATCCGAAGCATTGCTCGTGTATCATGGGACAACCGTATAAGCAATGCTATCGTTAGGAGACAAGTACTAGGAAAGGATGAAGCATTTAAACTTCATCAGTTGAGGTGGTTGGGATATGTGTAACTTATACCCGACCACCGACTGCCTCGACGAGCTATGTTTTGTGGTGTAGGAGTAGGTTGGAAGAAAGTTAGGGGCTTCCAGGTCAAAACATGGCACAAATCCATGAAGTCATTGACAAGTGGACTGAGTCATGTTGGTAGATGTAGGCTATCTGGTTTGGGTCCGCGAGACGAAAGTCACCAATGGTTAGAGACCTTGAACGACATGGCTCAGAATCGTTTGCAATGGCGCAGATGCATCCACTCTTTGTGTGTTTTTTGATTTTAACCTTCTGAATTCCTCATAATCTCTACCTTTCTCCTTCTAAATTTATCTCACTGAATTATACTTCTCGAATCATATCTTCGCTCCCTAACCTTCTCCATTGCTGCTAATAATTCTACTATCGCTATCACTCTTGGATTTGAACTGATGTACTTATGTACGAAGTTCTGTGTTGTATCTGTCTGTCTGTCTGTCTTCTGATTGGTTAAACTATGTTTTTATCTAAATTTAGTATTTTTCATACATCTTAAAAAAATACTTAAATCATTCAAGTATCTGAATAGAATTATTGACTGTAGTGATTAGATAGAGTAAAGTTGTCGGAATATGCAAAGACTCTTGAGTTTTTGAATGCATTGTCTATCAGTCACTAATTAATATCTGTATATATTCATGTTTCTATTTTCTTACTTTTCTCTTACCTTTTTTTCCTTAGCGTTTAGTAGTTTGTGTCGAAGATGGAATATTCATACATAATATGCGTGATATGCAATTATTGCATAAAGTTGAAGAAACACCACCGAATCGAAATGGTGTCATTGCTTTATCATCGAATGAAAGCAATTGTTATTTAGCCTATCCTGGTTCACATCGTGTCGGCACTGTGTTCATTTTTGATGCATTAAGTTTTCAAGTAAACATGTGTTTAAAGTTATTTTGATTTTTTTTTTGTTGCTGAAATCATGAATCGATCCATGTCAGACCATCGTTAGAAACCTGGAAGCATTGAAAGATGGCCGTCTCGTCCCAGAGTTGTGGATGCGCACTGCCACTGATGAGTCCCATACCGGGACGAAATGGCCGTCCAGTGTTTCCAGGTTTGTAATGTAGGTCTAACATTGATGGATTCATGATTACCAAATTGTCTGTTTGTTTGTTTTTGCACTATGCATCTTTAAATCAATCTTAGACGTAGTTTTTATCGTTGAATTCATATTATCTGAGGAGCTGTTGAAAAATCTAAAGAATACTAAATGATTGTTTCTTTCCAGTTTGAAACTCTGTCAAGAATCGAATCCAGATATATTTACTTATTTCAATAAACACACTACCTGTTAACTACTGAATTGATATTGAATGGTTTACACTTCTGATTTTCAGCTATTCATAATGTAACGCATAGGCCGCCGTCCAGCAGTATTTTTGGTGAGTTGGGTTTCTACGGGATGGGGTCGCTAACGCCATGCCCAGCCCTTCTCGTTTACGGGAGCTTGGGACCGGCAGTAACCGTAGAAGGGCTCCAGGAGGAGTTGCGTCAAGATTAACGATATGGTTTTAAAACCCTGATTAATAAAGAAATGGTTCATAGAATAACCATGAACTTTTACCGAAATGTTACTTATTGAATAGTGTCTTACAGGATTGATTACCTATCCTTCATATCTTTTAATAATCAAAAACTAACAATCCTAAAATTCTTTTGACAGCATCTGATATATATTTTTTTCACACACGTTAAAATATCAAAGAATTATACTGTAAGTTGTAAAAGCAGTCGGTATATTAATTGGTTTTGGTAATGGCATAAAGTAAACGTTCATGTCTAGTCGACCGAAATGTCAATGTAAACGGTAACTTATTTGATTAAGACGTTCGACTTTTAGCCACTAAGTCTCAGACTCCGCTCCACTTACTTACTTGAGTTCGATAAGCCGGACAATATCATTAACTTTTGGGGATGTTAGATCCCCGGAACTCACTTGGAAAGGTTCTAATTTTGTAATTTTATTCTGAGATTTTGAATTTCTATGTTTTCGCGCCAAAGACGCTCATTTTGCCGTTCAGCTCGTATTACCTCCTTGGAAAATCTTTGACTGTCATTGGTTGGTGGATTATTTTAGTATGCTATTTTGTGGCTCTCCCAAGAGCGTTTCTATCATGTGTGAATAAGCTCGATTTGTGTGCTTGTCGACCTTGTGTTTCTGAGTGTTTGTAGAACACACTTTCTACGCCTTACCAAGACTTCTTGATCTTGTTAGCCGGGTCGGAGACAAACGGATTAGAATAGTCTATCGTGTCGAGTAAGGTGAACTCGTAATAGCATTCAAGCATATATCAATTGACTGGCAGTGTGACGAACCTGCAATGTGGTTCACACTTCTAATTTTCAGCTACTCATAATGTGAGGCGACAATCACGTCAAGATTAACTTACTTACTTACGCCTGTTACCCCTAATGGAGCATAGGCTGCCAGCCGGCGAACTATTTATCTGGATTTCTACGGTATGGGGTCGCTAACGCCCAACCCTTCTCGTTTACGGGAGCTTGGGAACGGCAGTAACCGTAGAAGGGCTCCAAATACATATCTTTCTGTTTTCAATTTATTAAATAAACATTATTTACTATACGAAAAAAACAGATTATATTTCAATAAAATCATGAATCAATCATTGTTCGATCATCATTCGAAACCTGGAAGCACTGGACAGCCGTTTCGTCCTAATATAGGACTCATCAGCAGTGCGTGGTAGGAATAATATCTTACTAATAGAAGTGGCATATGTAGCTTAGGGTAAGAATAGTCGTGATGAGATGCTTTCGATACTTTGATGCAGAAAATGAAACCAATTATTTTTTCACATCTCCTTTTTTGTGTCCGCGCACAATACCGAAGGTCCTGGGTTCGAATCCTGCAGGGTGCAGGAGTCGTGGATGCGCACTGCCACAGATGAGTTCCGTACCAGGATGGAACGGCCGTCTAAACAGTGCTTCCAGGTTTCTAATGGTGATCTAACACTGATCATCGATTCATGGTTTCAAAAATGTATAACTTAACAATCTTCACAACCCCGTAATGCAAAAAATAATTTAAGCAATATTTTTTTCTGTCCACTAATTTAATTCGAAATCATTCCTCCTCTCAATCGAGTTGTGTGTTGTGTTGAAGAGGAGGTGGTGGTGACATGTTGTTTGATGGTGCTTTTATTTTTGATATTGATTATTGAGGATTGTGTTAAATCTACAAATAATTGATTGTACTTACAGAATTCTTATTGGCTATGCTATATAGAATAGATAGACAGACAGACAGACAGATACAACTCAGAACTTCGTACGTAAGTACATCAGTTCAGCTTGCCATGCCACATCAGCACAGAGACGTAACTGTTACTTCAAATCCAAGAGTACTACTGATGGTAGAAGTATTACTGGTAATGAAGAAGGTTAGGAGGCGAAGATATGATTCGAGAAGTATAATTCAGTAAGATAAATTTAGAAGGAGAAAGATAAAGATTATGAGGAATTCAGAAGGTTAGAATTAGAGAGAACGCAAACAGTGAATGCACCTGCGCCACCGCAAACGATTCTGAGCCATGTCGTTCAAGTTCTCTAACCAAGGAGAAATCAGATTAACAATTTTACTAGGATCCTGTATGCGCGTTTCCGAGACGCAGCATACATCGATAGCACGAGATTCTAAAGTTCTAGCTAAGGAGGCCTGTTGTCCTATTTGACACAATGTCCGTACACTAAAAGCTCCAACATGTAGTCTAGAACGAGGTTTCAAGAGACCAGGAATGACGTTTCGTGAACTCGTATCATTTGCATTAGCCGTGCAGTGAGATAAGGGAATGTGAGTAGATTTAGTTGTGGAGAGAAGAGAGGGTATGTGTGAGTGTAGGAAGGATTCGGTTATGACCGGTTTTGTCTCGCGTGCTGTTACGGGTATGAGGGCGTTTGTCACTTCCCGGCTGCCCACACCGTGGAAGATATAGAATAGATAATCAATATTATTGATTGATTTCTGATTGTAAGTATTAGGGAATCAGTATAAAAAACTACTGAATACACATATTTTCATTTGAATTATGATTACACTAGAAATTTTAATACATTTTAATGTAAGTGATTACGCTCATTCCCTTAACAATATATCCATCCACTTGCCTATCCACCACCACCTACCTGCCTACGTTGATGTGCTTCGTCGGTTGACATATAAGTAAGGGGATTGGCAACAGCCTACTTAGATGAGGAATTCTATGCTTCAGCAGCCCTCATCGCCTCTGTCTTCCTCTTTCCGAAGGTATCTCACTGAATTACACTGCTTGGATTGATATCTTCAAACCCTAATCTTCTTCATTACCGCTAATACTTCTACTATGTCTACCACTGACAATTGCGTCTGTGTGCTAATGTGGCTAGACACGATCAAACCAGGATAATAATCAGAGGTTGGAGACGATGGAACTGTTCACAACGGTGTAAATGCAGTCAACTTTGACGATTCCATCTCTTAGTATTGTTTCAATGCAACACACATATTTCAAGGTTACATGTTACTGATAATTGATTGATTGACGTTAGGGGACTCAGAAGAACTTATGCTTTACTTTTTTTTATTTCACTCTCAGTTTGAATATAAATTCTTGCCTTTTCATTTTATTATTATTTCTGATATCATTCATCTCGGTTATTTTAATGTTGTGAATTTTATCTCACTGTTCTTATGTGCCCTTGCGTCATTTTTGATAATGGACTGACCGAATTGTAGGTGGTGTTATTTGCAGCATACATTTAGTGCTCTCTCTCTCTCTCCCTCTCCATTATTCATCGTCGGATTTGAAACAGAATAATTATTGATTAAGATTTTATTTCTAAATTGAAAAATATTTATCGTGTTATTTACAACTAACTAATCTGGCAACTGAAGACTTTCCATTTCGATCTTCACTTACTAATAACGATCAACCGTTGGGATTCAAATCAATAGTTGCATCTCTGTGTGCGCCAATGTGGTATAACAACTTGAACTGATTTACGTACGTACGAAGTTCTTCTACCTTGTAGCTGGCTGACTGACTGACCTACTGAACAGTCAACCTCATTTATCAACTAGAGTATTATGTTACCTAGCTACTTACTTACCTACTTACACCTGTTACCCTTAAGGTATCACAAGCTACCGATGTTAGTTATTTCCATAACTAATTGTAGTTATGTCATAACTAACCAATCAAATTGTGGTTTAAGCGTCCATCACGTGATCTGATCTGACGTGCCCATAAACTATCTTTGTTGTAAATCACCACCTACTAATTGAAGGACATTATTATCTTATTAGTATTGATGTGACTCATAACTTTATTCATTTCCATAAGACCCGCTATGTTCACTGGGTTCACTTGATAACTGTAATTTCCTTATTTGTTGAAATAATTTTTATGTTTAGAAACAGATAAAGTTTAAAGCAAAAGTTGGTCTTGTTCTGACTCTATAGCTTTCCCATAGACTCTGTACTCGCCATTATTGCGTTTACAGAGTTCTAGAATAACATCTATAGGACAAATTAAATCCTACAACCGACCAGCATTCTCCAACCTACTCTGCTGCCCTGGGCTTACCTTTTCCAATTCTACTCAATCACTGTCCATTCTTTCCATGTCTGCTTCCTATTCTCGCCTCAGTATGTTGTTTGTTTCTTGATCTGCCTCGTTCCCTCTTTGAACTTGAGATTTCCAAGTTGGGGACTTGTTTTGTGACGGACGCAGTATTATGTACACACACGTACTGTTTTTGTGACTGCCAGTATTGCTATCCATTTGTTCCTGAACTTTTTAAATTGGATCAAGACTGGCATCAATTGTTTACTAATTAGAAAAGGTTTATTTTTATATTCATTAAGGAATATGTTTGTTTGTTTTTCTCTCTAACTAACTAACTAACTAACTAATATATCCTACCTACATATATATATAAATCAATCAATTCACTTATTCATTTCCTTAGTCGTATGTGCAATTCACGTGGAATTAATTCTTCACGTCATTTGATCACTCACGCCATACTGTTGTTTATTCCTTTTTATTTTTTTATAAAAATTTAATTGATTACGTTTTTACTCTAAAAGGGGCAGACAATTGTATAAAATGAAATACGATTTCAGTGGATCAATAATTGCAAATGTTCAACGTGAACATTTCACCTTGTTATGTATAGTTAGTTAATCTGTTCATTGTACCAATTGAAAGCGCTATATATATATATTTCATAGTACTTAAATGCATAAATTTTTAACCATGAGGGAGGTAATTTGGGAGTCTTTAGTATTTACTTTATTTTAGTTAGCTAAGCGCTTCTATGAGGTGTTATGTTGTTTTAAACTGGACAGTCTATACTCATAAATTCTTCATTGTCTGTCTAGGCAACATCATCAACATATATTATTTTGAAATGAAGTGCATTATTGAAGTCATCTATCGATCAGCGTTAGATCACCATCAGAATCGTGAAAGCACTGGACGACTGTTTCTACGTAGTATGAGACTCTATAATGAAAATCATAAAAATCTGCTTACTAGTGATTGACCAGCTTTGTGAGGAAATTCTCAGAGTTCTCTTGTGAGAAGCCGTGACTAGTGGAGTTCAACCTTGTCAGGACTAGGCAGTAGTTACTTACTGAAGATAATGGATCAGGTTACGCAATGGATTAAAGTTAAACATTTACACTATTCAATGCAGGCTTAGTGGTGGTCTAGAGGTTAAGCGTTCGTGCTGAAGAGCTAAGATTCTTGGGATCGATTCCCGCGAGTTTGGGTCATGGATGCGCACCACTGACGAGTCCCATACTAGGACGAAACTGCCGTTCAGTGTTTCCAGGTTTCTAATATGGTGGTCTAACAATGATCGATTCATGACTTCAAAGAAACTCGACAATTTCCACATGTCTATAATGAAGTGCATTATTAAAAATGTGTCTATAATTCGGCGAACAGCTTGTCAGCCGTTTGATTTGGTCAGTTTCCTTATGTCTGTTGATCGGTGAAAAACTAGAGCTAGTGAAAGCTTCATGACTATAAACCAGCCAGATCAAAAAACACAATACTTCATAATTCTTATTGAGGTATAGTTTGAATAAATCAAATAATCTATAATCAACACTAGTTAAAATGAATTTTCTCTCATTTCCATGTCCCAACCCCGTTTTCAGCACTTTATCTAACTCTATTAAGGGGCTCTGAATGGAAAGTAACATGTGGGCGCTAGTTTTGTTTTAATCTCCTTCTTCTTTACTCTAGAATGTTGGTGATTCAAGACTGATATTCAACTAATCAGAATGTTACACATTCACGGACTCATAAAAGCATGTTCTGAAAGCTTATGACCAACTGCTTTTTTGTTGTTGTTGACAATGAAACTAACTTATTTATTGTTCGTGTTAGCACTTTATGTAATCCCGACCGATGCCGCTACCTTGACGTAATGGTCGGGCTTGTCTGTCGTCATGATCCAACCGAGCTATATTAGCTGGAACTTATGTTCCTGAAGGTTCTACCATGCCAGGCTGGTCGATTGGAGAACGATGAGACTAAAAGCAGCTACTCAAGGTCTGAGGGCGAAGTCGTACTGCTGACTGTGATGGAGGGGTGTGACAGCAGTAAGGTTTTTCCCTCGGACAACCAGCATTTGCGGCGATGCTGCCATCTCACAAGGAAGAAAGGGTTAGAAAAGGTCGACCCTAAAAATGTCACACCTCACCCTACCTCACGAATTTCCGTCTCCGGCGGTAAGGGTGCTCACTAAAGGCTTTTATGAGCAGAGCTAATACTCAAAAAACCCTTCATCAAAAGGCCGTGCGTGACCGGCCTCAAGCAGTTGTCCCTTGGGCTCTGCGGTCACGCTCCCAGGTCTCTAAGACCAACACTAATCTACCTTCCTCTTCAGGTTTCTCAAGAAACAACCTTTCACGGTGTGGGCAGCCGGGAAGTGACAACCGCCCTCATACCCGTAACAGCACAGGAGACCAAATTGGTAGAAATCAAATCCTTCCTACACCCCCTAATACCTCTCTTATCTCCTTTTTATGTAGTTCTATTCATGGGGTCGAACTTATGGCCTTTAAAGTTATAGCAAGTGAAAAACCGGTTCACATTTTCAACTTGCATGAATTTGTGATATAACTTAAATGTTATAAGTGAAATCTTTTTGAAATCATGAATCGATTAATTTTAGACCACTATTAAAAACCTGAAAGCCCTGGACCACCGTTTTGTCGTGGTATGGAACTTGTCAGTGGTGCGCATTCGCGACTCCTACTACTCACAGCAATCGAACCAAGGACTTTTAGTCTTACACATGAACGCTTAACCTCTGAACCATTGAGCCGGCGACACCCCACGGTGTTAATGTTTAACTTCGATCAGTCCACGGTCTTACGCAACCCCATCCACTGTCTTCGATGTGCACTGTTTCATACCCGAACAGGGTTGAACTCCACTGGTCCCTACCTGTCATTGGAGAAACCTCCTCACGGAGCTAGTCACTAGAACTCCACTAATCACAGATATTCTCATTTGAAATTACAAGAATCTCTCTCTCTCTCTCTTTCTAGTGTTTATACCCAATTTAATGACGTGTGTTACGTATGGCTAACCACCGACTGCCGCGACGAGCTGTTTTATAGTGTAGGAGTAGGTTGGAAGAAATCTAGGGGCGGCCAAACCGAAACATGGCACAAATCCATGAAGTCACTGACAACTGGGTTGAGTCATGTTGGTAAATGTAGACTACTTGGTCGGGGTCCGCGTGATGATAGTAATTGATGGTTAGAGATCGTGAACGACATGGCCCTAAACCGTTTGCAATGGCGCAGGTGCATCCATACTTTGTGTTCTCTGAAATCTTAATCTTCTGAATTCCTCATAACCGTTTTTTCTCACACTTTTAATCGATTTCCCCGGGCATACATCTCGAGTTATATATTCGATTACTGCTAATACTTGTACTACCTCTACTACTATGGGATATAAATTGACAATTACATCTCTGTGTTAGTGTGGTATGGCAACATGAACTGATGTACATACGTACGTACGACGTTCTACGTTCTTATTGACTGACTGACTAACTGATACCCAATTTAATAATCCAAGTCATCTATTTTATTGTGCATGTTTTTCCTTTATCTTTTCTACTACAGAATGTAACATCTATCGCTGCTCATGATGGTCTATTAGCATGTCTTACATTTAATGCTAGAGCTAATTTATTAGCTACAGCATCAGAGAAAGGCACTGTAATACGTGTGTTTTCTATTCCACAAGGAGAAAAAGTAATTGAATTTCGTCGTGGATTAACTCGGTAAGTAAAATATGCATTGTTTTGTGTGTTCTAGTTTGACATACAAACCTCATGAGTTTCAGTATTGATCAAATGTAGGGTAGTTATTACTGTTTACTGTTTGTGGGTCATATACTAAATCGAAAATAGCTATTCAATGCTGCCAAATATGTTAATTTTTTTATGGGAAGCTGTTTCCAACTGTATCAACCTCTTCAAAAAACAAAGTCGTATTAAATGTAGCTGAGTTAAATTTATTGTGCTCACTAGTGACTAGTTTTGTGAGGATATTATCGAAGTTCTAATGAAAAGATGTGACCAGTGGAGTTCAACCCTGCCGGGTGTAGGGAATAATTACCGAAGATGAATGGGTGATCAGAGTTAGACATTAACACCTTTAGATGCCGGCACAGTGGTCCGGAGGTTAGGCTTTCGCACGCAAGATCGAAGGTCCTGGGTCCGAGTCCTGCGTACTGCCATTGATGAGTCCCATACCAGGACGAAACGGCCGTCCAGTGCTTCCAGGTTTCTAATGGTGGTCTAACAATCACTGATTGATTGATGACTTCAAATGTGTATTTTACCTCTAATCAATTTTATCTCACACTGTTGTTGCATTCATAAACCCTTTCCTTTATACACGTTCATATCACCACTCTTAATCTCTGTTATTTAATTGTAAGTTCTTCTTTTCTCCGACAGACAAATGACACTTTAAGATAACTTATAATTGTTTTAACTGTTTTTATCGACATGCTAAACTATTCAACTAAAATTAAAAACATCTATTTGTGGATCATACGAATGCAGATACATTATGCAGTCAATCTGTGTGCAACTTTCTTATTACTCAATGTAAAGTTCGTCACTAGGTATGCTTAAGGCTATTACGAGTTCACCTTAGTCGATAAACGCGAACGAGACAATGAACCAGCGTCCACGTAGGCTACCCTGAATCCCAAGCTGAAGAAAAAACGGCTTTGTAAATGTAGAAAGTATATTCTACAAACACCCAGCAATCACAGTACAATCAAGCATACAACTTTCATTTATTTATACATGATAGAAACGTCCTTGGGACAGTTACACAAAATAGCACACTAAAATACACAGCAGCCAATCACAGCCATGGATTTTGCTGGTGGGAATTGAAAGCTCAAAGTCAACTGATCAGCCCATGCTGGCAAACGTGAAATTCAAAATAAGGCATTTAACAAGCGAGTGTTGGGGATCTAACATCCCCAACACTCAACCGTCCCCTTCTCCCAGAGTCTTCTACACCTGGATCCTGAATGATAAACGAAATGCTGGAAGTATGGAAAAAAAGTCTTTCTCCCTAGTTCATCTCATGTATGAGAGATCTCAAGTATGGAAAAACTTCTTGGTAAAGCATGTTAAAATCGTCAATGAAACTGATAATTTAGATTTCGACCAATTTGGTCTCGTGTGCTGTTACGGGTATGAGGGCGGTTGTCACTTCCCGGCTGCCCACACCGTGGAAGGTTGTTTCTGAGGGACCTGAAAAGGAAGATAGATTAGTGTTGGTCTTGGAGACCTGGGAGCGTGACCGTAGAGCCCAAGGGACAACTGCTTGAGGCCGGTCACTCACGGCCTTTTTATGAAGGATTTTTTGAGTATTAGCTCCGCTCTTGAAAGCCCTTAGTGGGCACCCTTACCGACGGAGACGGAAATCCGTGAGGTATGTTGAGGTGTGACATTTTTGGGGTCGAGCTTTTCTAACCCTCCTTTCCTTGTGAGAAGGCAGCATCGCTGCGTATGCTGGTTATCCGAGGGAGACGCCTTACTGCTGTTACCCCTCTGCAGTCAGCAGTACAAATTCGCCCTCAGACCTTGAGTGTCTGCTTTTAGTCTCATCGTTCTCCTATCGACCTGCCTAGCATGGTAGGACCTTCAGGAACATAAGTTCCAGCCAATTTAGCCCGGTTGGGTCATCACGTTAGGAAAGCCCGACTACCACGTCAAGGTAGCAGCTACGGTCGGGTTCTCTCAAATCCTAATCTTCTGGATTCTTCTACACCTCTAGTTTTGACTTTCTAAACTTTTCTTACTGAATCACACTTCTTGAATAATATCTTCTAATCCTAACCTCTCTTCTACTATTGGATTTGAATTGACAATTACATCTCTGTGCTGATGTGGTATGGCAACATGAACTAATGTACTTATGTACAAAGTTCTACGTTGCATCTGACTGACTGATAATTTAGAATTTTGTTGAATGTTTATTAACAATTAATGATTGACTGAAAACACTGAAAGCATCGTTCTAGTTACTGAATACTACTTACTCAATTACTCCACTATTTAAACAAATCTTCTTCTTCTTCTTATTTTTTTCATTTCAGTTGTGTATCTATCTGTTGTCTATCATTCAGTATGAATAGTCAATATTTAGTCGCTGCTAGTCATACAGAAACAGTGCATTTATTCAAATTGGAAAATCGTTCGTAAGTCATTGAAATCCTTTTGCACACTACTATTACTACTACTATGCTTGTGTTCACTGCAATACTGCAATAGGCTAAAAGCTTTACAATTGCACTAACGAAATAAATAAATAAGGACACACTGTAGTCGATGTCTCTCATTGGTTTATGTATATTACGTACTACTACATTACAGGTCAGTGATAATTAATATTTATAAGTGTTTGCAAAACATGCATTGGATGAAAGCGTGTTTAAATGCACGGTCATGTTGGAGCACACTGATTGACCTATCCTTAGCCAATTATCATCTTTTGGTTGACAGTTGGAAAAAAAAACTGTTGATTACTTTTGTGTAAAATTAATTTAAAAAAATACACTAACGTTTTTTTTTGCTGTGATTTATTCACAATTAACTTGGTTTGTTTGACTATAATCACGTACATACGTGTTGTTCAGGTTATGTGCTGATTTTGGGCACTAGTCAAGCAACTTACAGAGTATTTGAAGAATATTAAATAAATAAGAGTACCTGGAGTGAAGAAGTTTAGCGTGTTGACCGCTTCACTTATCTGAAGAGTCTCATCAGTGCTGATGATAGCCTGGTGACTGACGAAATCTCATCGCGGATACAGGAGACTCGATTGGCTTTTGCCAACTTGCTTCACTTATATCGTAGACGATGTACTACGCAGCAGTTCCCTCTGTTCTACTATACGGGTGTGAAGCATGGTCACTTAGAATACAGGATGTTTGTAGGTTACTAGTTTTTGATCATAGATGTCTTAGAAGCATTGCTCGTATATCGTGGGACAACCGAGTAAGCAATGCTGTCGTTAGGAAACGAGTACTAGGTAGAGATGGCAGACCAATAAATGAAGTACTGAAACTTCATCAGTTGAGCTGATTGGGACATGTGCCTAACGACTGACTGCCTCGTTGAGCTATGTTTTGCAATGTAGGAATAGGTTGTAAGAAATCTAGGGTCTGTCAGACCAAAACATGGCAGAAATCCATGAAGTCAATGACAAGTGGACTGAGCCATATTCGTAGGTGTAGGGGATTACCGCTAATACTTCTATTACATCTACTACTATGGGACTATTCTACCTCTATGTGCGCTAATGTGGTATGACTACTTGAGCTGATGTATGTACATTCGAAGTTCTACGTTGTAACTGATTGTATACATGGAAATTTTCAGCAATCAGTTTTGTTTTATACAATATCTTGTACACTATTTACATTATGCCAATCTAGTGTATATTCTTTACCTACTATCCACGTACACATCACTGTCATACTTTCTTCTATGATCGTCTTTTTGCACATCACTTGGTTTCGTTTATTTGATCTCAGCTAAATATTGTGGTGAATGCTACTCACACTATTAGTTATCAGTAAGTACTATACAGCTGAGCCTCACTTAAGAGTTTCCAAAAGCATAAGTTTCAGGAAATCGAGAGCACAGCCTATTCAAGAAAGTCGAAGGAGACAGTTGATCGCCTATTTGGATTGATGAACGTATCTGCACTTCGTAGACAATCGGTGTTTTCTCCGAATATATATATATATATATATATATATCAATACCATCGTTTAGTTTAAACTACTAGGTGTTTACAAAACGCGCTCATAAGCCATTGAACCTTCATGTTATCGAAAAATCATGATATCTTGAAATTGAAATCAAACAGTTCACATTTCTAGCTTCAGTCACATTTTATGTGAAGAAAATCATACAGTCGACCTATGTTGCGTATGCCTAACCACTGACTGCCTCAACGAGCTTTGTTTTGTAGTATAGGAATAGATTGGAAGAAAGTTAGGGGCGGCCAGACCGAAACATGTCAGCAATCCATGAAGTCATTGACAAGTGTACTGAGTCATGTCGGTAGTTGTCGATTACCTGGTTGGGGTCCGCGAGATGATAATAATCGATGGTTAGAGACCCTTTGTGACATGGCTGATAACCAGTTGCAATGGCGCCGGTGCATTCATTCTCTATGTTCTCTCAAATTCTAATCTTCTGGATTCTTCTACACCTCTACTTTTAACTTTCTAAAGTTATATCACTGGATCATACTTCTTGAACAATATCTTCTAATCCTAACTTCTCCGATTACTTCTAATACCTTTACTACCTCTCCTACTTTTGGATTTGAATTGACAATTATATCTCTGTGCTGATGTGGTATGGCAACATGAACTGTTGTATTTACGTACGAAGTTCTACGTTGCATCTGACTGACTGACTGCGCCAGTGCAAACAATTGCGAGTCGTATCATTCAAACTCTCTAACCATCGGTAATTATCATCATAAATCAGTTTCTATTTTGAGCTAATTAATGAATTGTTGTGGTATTCATTAAAACAAAAACTGACTTACTCATTACTTGAATTCTATTTTTCTATATGTTGTTAACAAATAGACATCAACTCTTAAAACAATTCCTTCTCCATACGTTGTATTATTCAATAATGATTCTATGTAGCCCCCACCATTTCTGACGTAAATTATTTTCACTGATAATGTTCATCATGATCACAGATCACATGTTAATGATATTGTGATGTGTGATGTGTATATTAGAAAATGAATATATCAATTGTTCACAATTATTTTTAACTTTAATAAGATGTCTATTGATCATTTCACCATTCGAAGGCAATATTAATAATAGTAGTATGTTTGCGTCAATGTAAACAGATTAAAATGAAATTTGAATAATTGAGGTGAAGAACCAAATCTAATTTTAACTGAAGTCAACTGATTTCTTGCGAAATTTCCCTGTAAAATCATCCAGAATAGGTTGTATGAATTGAATGAATGTTTTGAAACCATATTGTGTGTGTGTGTGCGCGCGCACGTGTTGGCGTGTTGACCTTGAACTGAATTGTATCAGCTGTTAGCTGCTAACCTGAAGTTTAGTTAGATAGAACAGTGGATGAAGTTGTGCAAGACTGTAGATTGATCGAATTTAGACAATAACATCGTTAGATGTCGGCTCAGTGGTCTACAGGTTAAGAGTTTGTGTGCAAGACCGAAGTTCCTCTGTTCGATTCCTGCATGTGGCAGGAGTTTGTGGATGCGCACTGCCACTGATGAATCTCATACAAGGACGAAACGGCTATCAAGTGCTTCCATGCTTCTAATGATGATCTAACAATGATTGATTCACGATTTCAAATGTAAAACAACGATCTCCGTAAGTCTATAATGAAAAAACAAAACAAAATGTAGATAGTTGGGGCATGATACTTGAAGATGGTCGTCCTACTTCAGAGTGAATAATTTTCACAAACATTCCATCTTACTAGTGAATGAACACGTCCAGTTAAATGGGGTACCTGAGTTCTGATTACAGTTGAAAATAAGGTACAAAAACACCTCAAAATAATGATTTATTGTCTGAGATCGCCAGTTAATCATTGTTAGACAACCACTATTAGTCCTGGTATAGGACTCATCAGTGGCAGTGCTCAACCGCGACTCCTGCACCTCGCAGGATTCTGTTGTATCATTATGACATAATGTAATACAGTCTTTATTCCTTACCCGGTCAGAATCATCACTCCTATTCTAATCTTGACTGGGAACAAGTGTCATTTACTCATCTCATGTTACACTTCAAATCATGCATTAACTTATCTCTTGATCTATTTATTTCTTTCAAACTTTATAGTTCTGAAAAACTACCTGACATTCCCGCTGATCATCATTATACAAGACAACGTACTACATCGACTAGTTCAGCAGCTAGTCAACATGTTGATGATGATGGTGAGCCGCCATCGTCTGATGATATAACTACACCTTATCCAGGATGTATGGATATTAATACTGCTGCTGGTTTAGATAATACAAATGCAATAACAACCACAACAACAACAACAGGTGGCGCTGCTGTAGCCGCAACAGCTACAATGGCCAGTTGGAGTCAAGGTTTAATGGGATGGATGGGTAGTACATTGAAAACTTATTCTGCTTATTTACCACATCAAGTCTCAGAGATATTTGCACAAGATCGTGCATTTGCTTATGCTAGAATACCATGTGCTTCAGTGACTAGTAGTAGCAGTAGTCCATTTCGTCCATTAGGCAGTGGCGGTGGCAGTGGTAGTCCTGTGACAACATCGACTGGAGATTTGACCAATCTTCATTATCCTGGTTCCACAACTTCAATTCCTCAAGCTGGTGGCGCTGCGGGTGTTGGTGGTGGTGGTCTTATGCAATTATCACCTGGCCAAAGGAAAGTGGCTGCACTTGTTTAGTAAGTCATAGAAAAGAAAATCGTTTATGTGTCTTGTCTTTAATATTTTATTGGATTTCCTTTGTTGGTTTCTTTTCTTTTCTAGTCAGTCATTCAATAAACAATTTTTATTATTTAAATGCTTAAATATGAGAGAGTAGATTGTTATTATCGGCTTTGTTACAAGCTTCTCCCATTTCTATCTATCCAATGTGTTTATCTTGATTTTGAGTTATATTGTCTAGAGATACATCAACCAGGTCTGCAATTCCTGACATGACTTCAACCAATCAACGTTAATCTTAATAATTGATGTTACATCTTAGTTCAGTCATCCATCTTTAGCCTTCGGTTTAACCTGCTCCTACACCAATTGTATAGTATGTATCAAGGTTACTTGATGCATAGGTAGGTGGTCGATAAAGATTTGAATTTCAAACGCATAACCAATATGCCAATATTTAAGTAGTATCCACATTTAACTTGAGCGTTAATAAGTAATAACACAGCAGTTTTATTATGTTTCAAATACTGATATGAAAATATCTATGACCAAATATTACTAATCAATAAAATTCAGTCAGTCAGTCAGATGCAACGTAGAACATCATTTCATGTTGCCGATACGACATCAGCACAGAGATATAATTGTCAGTTCGAATACAATAGTAGAAGAGGTAGTAAAGGTATTAGAACTATCCGGAGAGGTTAGGATTAGAAATATTATTCAAGAAGTATGATTCAGTGAGAAAAGATTAGAAAGTCAA